AATATGTCAGTTTTAAAAGTAATATTTGGGGGAGTTGTTGGGTTTTGTTTGTTTTGCATCTATAGCACTGGTTACTTTGAACAAATAAAGCTTTTGTAGTTGCCTCCTTTATCAAAAAAGAACATTTGGCAGCCTGATACATTTCCTCTGCTTCTCTAAATGTTGGGGGAAAGTTTCCATAGTCCAACTCATGTTTTAGCTCATATGCTTAAGGACCATTCTGAGTTTTTCGTTTGTGTGTGTATAAATAAAATTCTTATGTAAGTGAAAAAAAAAAAGACCCCTATGCTAGTGGTGAATAGAACATTGAACATCCTTTTATTTGAAACAGAGGCAATCTTTGTAGTGACTGAAGAACAGATTCATTTCAAAGACTGGTAAAAAGGAAGCAGTTAAGAAAAGAAAATCCAGGCCACCATGGATTGAACTTGAACTCATGGAGATCTTTCTGCCTCAGCCTCCTGAGTGCTGGGATCACAGGCATGAACACTACACTTGGCTTTGACTATCCATTTAAATGCTTGTGAAGAGTTTATAATAGCATTTGAAATGCTTATAAAATAAATCAGACACATAAGTTTAAATATGGCATTGTTCATTTTGTTTGAGAAATCCCAAGTATAAATCAGGAGCAAAATGGGAGGAGATATTAGGCAAAAGAAAGAACTTGCTCAGATGGGAAGAGGACAAGAGATGGGGGAGGGGAGGGGAGGACAGGGCAAGGAAATTAAGAAAAATGTGGAAATAAAGCTTTTGTAAATGTGGAAGGGAAGAAGGGCTAGAGGAAGGGAAGGAAAGGAAACAAAAAAAGAATTAAGACATGCTATGTATACATACAAATTCCCCATGATGAATGTGACCATTATATACTATAAAAACGTACTGATAAAAAAGAATGGCAGACATGTTAAATTAAAATGCTAATAATATGCACCAATTTGTATATGTCATATATCACAATATTTTGTTGAAAAACAAAAAAGCAGTATAATAAATTTACAAATGCAACCCCAAATAGACTGAAAGTAAAAACTGCACAGATACACAACAAAGAAAAGAAATGTTGGTCATTAAGTTGAAATTTCCACTTTTTCAGTGGTTTACTCCCCTGACCATGTACACTTCCACAGTAAATGGACCTAGGGCAGAAGCGTAGGAGTTGGTCTGCTTCTCCTGGTCCCTTAAGAAAACTGCAGTGCTACGATGTTTTCTCTCATTTCTCATTATTATTGCCAAGCTTGCTTGGACAACCAACAAGACTTACTTCTGTAGCCAACAGTTCTTCAGCATCATCCAAGCTCTCCACAGCAACTACGCCACAGGAGCAAACATGAAAGTCACAGGGATTTGCAGATGCCAGGAGCATGTCTGCAGGAGGGAAATCACTGGTTAAACAGCTCTGAGAAAACCCACCAGGCCTGAGAAAATAATCCACTAACTTTCACAGTTTACTCTTACAGTTTGTAGCATACTTGTAAACAAGCCAAAATAAAATCTATATTATGCAATCAATTTTTTTCCTCTATTAATTGGTCAGTTCTAATTAAAGCATTCCAAAAGGAAACGATGTTGGCCAAATCCAGAAGCAGATTTAATTGCAGTAGTTCCAACTGGTCTTTTTTTAAAAAAAGCAGACAATGATATGTGCTGGCTAAACTTTGAAAACATTGATTTGGCCTAGATTCATGGGTAAGGGTCAGAGAACAAAAATGTTTTGTTACATTATAAATTGAACAAACTTGAAATTCAAAGGCCAGGAAGAAGCCAGACTCTGGGTCAGCACCCAGGGAACATTAGTGGCGTAGCCCTGTCACACCACATCCTCACTATTAGGAGGCTGAGCACATCTTTCAAAGGACCCATAAATCAGCTGCTGTGTTCAGCATCACACTGCTGACACATCTGGGCCCTGACACGAGCAGCTCATCAGGAAGTGATGCAGGCTGCAGCCAAGGCAGGCCGTCAGCAGCGCGCTATCAACCAACTCGATGAAACCTCCCCAACCTTGCAGTCCAGCCCTTATGTAGGATGGAGGTTTTTGAGCTTGTCTTAATTTTTCTGTTTCATTTACTAAAGTGAAGATCTGTTATTCTGAACCCCAAATATCAGAAACAAAGGAATTAGGCTACACCAGGGTTCATGTAGCTCTATTTGAAAACAAGCCAAATATCTATCAGCAGTTGGCTGGATTAACAAAATGTATATTTATGCAATTGATCGTGACTCAGCAGGCAAAAGAATGAAGTACAACATGGAAGAATTTCAAAATAAGTATACTGACCAAAATCAGCCAGAGGAAAAGGATATACGTTGTGATTCTGGCTTATAATACTCTACAAAATGCAACCTAATTTACAGGGACTAAAAAGCACAGTATTTCTTGGACAGGGATGGGAGGGTGGAAATAGAGGCTTCAGCCAAGCTGCAGGCCCAGGTAGAAGGCACAGCCTTCAGCAGTGCAGGGGAAATTGTACAATATCAGAGAGAAATGTTTCCATGAATATGTGCATATCTCGATATGGTAACAGTTTTCACATTTGTACATATGTCAATAGCTACTGATTGGACTTGTCAAAGACATGTAGTGTATTTTAGATCAATAATACTTAACAAAACTATTTTATAAAACTTTAAAAAGTCAAAAGAATTGGGCTATTCAAAGGAAATCAAACAATAGCAAATATAATACTTATAAGTTTATCTGAAACACAATTCATGAAACTTAAAAATATTTATGTTTTTGATGATTTTTATGTGTTTTTCAATTGACAAATACTACTTGCATTTATAGTGTACAACATGATGTTTTGACATATGTATACATTTTGAAATGGTTCAGTCTAGCTTATTGATTCATCTATTACGTTACATAGATATTTTATGGTCAGAAGTTTAAAATCCACTCTCAGCAATTTTCTTTTCTTTTTTTTTTTTCTTTTTTTTCCTTTCCTTTTCTTTCTTTTCAGTTTTTTTTTTTTTTTTTTTTTGTATTTAGAACAGGATGTATAGGGTCTCACGGCATAGATCAGACTCGTAGTGATCCTCTTGTTTATAGCCTCCCAAGTGCTGGGATTACAGGTGCGGGGGCCACCACAACCAGTCTCAATTGCTGCCTCAGCACGCCTCAGGGTCAGAGCCAGCAAGGCAGGCCCGGGGATTGAACTCCAGGTCCCTGCATCTAAGCAGATGCTTTAATCTGCTGAGATATTTGGCCAGCCCTCTTTCTCAGCAATTTTCAAGTATAAAATACATTGTTATGAACTTTGGCCACCACATTATACGGTACATCTCAGGAACTTGGACTTTTGTGGATTGCACATATGAATGAGATCATATAGTATTGGCCTTTCTGTGTCTGGCATTTTTACTTAGCAGTATTTTGCAGTCTAATGTTTTGCAAATGGGATATTTTTTTAAAAACTAAATAGCATTCATTAGCATTCATATACTTATATGTATTCATATGTATATATACATATATGTATATAAATACATATACATGTATATCAGAATTTCTTTACAGATCCATCTTTGGTGGATACTTAGATTGATTCAATATCTTGCCTATTGTGAATAATACTACAATTAACATCAGAGTGCAGATATCTCTTTGATTTCATTTCACTTCCCTTGGATGTGTACCACAAATAGGACTGCTGAACCATATGGTATTTCTACTTTAAATTTGTTGATGAATCTCTATACATTTGCCATAATGGCTATAGTGATTTATATTACCTCTCCCTGAACAAAAGATATCTTGTCTCCACATCTTTACCAACACTTGCTACCTTTTATTTGTTTTACAGTCATCATCCTAATGGTTATGAAGTGCTTTCCAGTATGATTTTGTTTACACTTCCCTGATGGTCAAACTTCAGAGCAGTTTTTGCACAAGCTTGTGGGCCATTTGCATATCTTCTTTTGAGAAATATCTTTTCAGGTTTTATCTACTTGTAATCAGTGTGTTTTCTTGCAACTGAGTTATTTGGGTTCCTGATATAATTTGAAGAGCAACTCTTCTACAGATACACATACAGATTGCAAATATTTCCCCTCCTGCAGTAGATTTCACTATGAGGCCATCGCCCTGTAGGAAATAAGTGCTGAGCGTGATAGTCAAAAAGTCAAGGATTCTAAAAGGCAAAGACATCCTGGTCGCAGTTCTCTCCTCCTGGAGGTTATATACTAGGTGCATAGCAAGAATTGATTCAGCAAATAAAAAGAAGGAAAAGGTGCAAAAAAGAGAAGATACATGTGGGACTAAGCTCTAGACATTGCATTCAGTTCTAAAAGATTCCCAATGAGTCTTATCTGAAAAGACTAGGAAATGAGTCTTAGGCAGGCCTGGAGCAAGGTTAGCTCCAAGTAAGAGTAAAAAAAGGGAAGATGTGTCCATGGCTGGGTAGACGCCAGATAGGCCTGGGTAACACTTCACCTCACCCTGTCCACTTCTTCAGTATAGTCATAGTCTGCAATTCTTCTTCTTCTTTTTTTTTTTTTCCCTGAACTGGGTATTGAACTCAGGTCCTTGCACTTGCCAGGCAAGCACTTACTCTACTGAACTCTCTCCCCAGCCCCTTAATCTGTAATTCTTATAGCAGATTTTTTATGTATTGACAGATGTTCAGGTTTTAGGAGATTCTCACCTAATACTCTGGCTGTGACTGTGCTCCCCCGTACACTCTTAGGGTGCACTGGAATGCTTCTAGACAAACATGAGACTGAAGGAACACCCAATCACTTGCTAGGACAGTTCCCCAAAACAATGGCTGTTGCAAGTCAAGTGAACATACCACATCGCGACCGCTAGATGTCAGACTTCGCACAGCAATCAATCTAGGTCACACCAGACACTGAATGCAGTAAAAGAATTCAGGAAAAGAATAATTTTTTTCCCCAAAGGTCAAAGGCTTCAGATGATTCTACATATTAGCAGTCATAGATACTCAGGAAACATGTGGTCTCTGCTGGTGCTGACATTAAACCCTACGTGTCAAATGGCCTGCGCAGGATACAAAGCCATGTCAACAATGCTGGATTTGACATAACCAATCAATGCAAGGACAAAGGTCTTTAAACATAATAAAAATAAATCCTTTTTAAGCTTAAGTGTATGAAAGCAGGAAATAGCTGTGAGTTTCACCAATTATCTTTACAGTAAAACAACTGTCTAGTTTGCAGAGCTTTTCCTACCTTGTGAGGGCATTTAGAAGTGGAGGACTATGTCGTCAAAATGCTGCCATATTTTCATTAAACTTAATCTGCACAACATGGACATGTAAAAATTTCCCCATTGACCTGATAGCCTACAACTGCAACTCACCCTACATCCAGTCTTTCTTTTGTTATTTTATGGACAAAGGGTAAAACAAAATTTCAAAATAAAATAATAGAATAAATGTAGGTAATACATCGTATATTGCTATTTTTACAGTAGTTACTCAGAGTACAAGATATAGGCATAAAAAATCTCCAATTGATACTGGCACAAACCTTCCTTTTCAATTACTTGAGAGATACTAATAGTACAACTGACTTGCATTCTTTCCCTTTTCCCCTCCTTCCTTTCCACCATCATAGTGCCTTTTTCATTGTGAGTCTGCCATGTGAGAAGCCCTATTCACAGTGTCACAATTCACAATATTTGTTATATCTTTTAACCCTGACACACTCTTTCAGTTTCTTACATCAGGGTAAAATGTTTACACATGCGAGTGTAGTTTATTTCACTTGTGCATATGGTCTTGAGCTGTATTCATTTCCATATACAAGTCTCATGCTTATCCTTCATAATGGTTGAGTAACACTGCAGTGTATAAAAATATTACATCTTTTTTACCCATTCCTCAGTTGATGGGCATCTGAGTTGTTTCCAAGTTTGTTTGTTTGTTTGTATTGCACCAGGGATGGAATTCAAGATCTTACACTTGCCAAGCAGGCACTTAAGCCGCTGAGCTATCACCCCAGCCCTGTTTCCAATATTTAGCTATGACAAATTATACTGCTATAAACGTGGGTTCACGTACACTGCTGTGGTATGTGCATCCAGTCTTATGGAAGCAACTATCGTCCTTAACTGGTTTACCTCAAGTGCAGTGTAATCTGCTTATCAATTTTCCTATTTCAGTTTTTAAAATGTTGTACTTTTATTAGTAAATGCTTGTAGAATATAATGATTGCATTTGCCGGGGGATTGATACATGTACATAGCACACCGTAGGGCTTTTTAATTGCCTTTCTCCTTCCTCTCCACTTCCAATGACTTCCTATAACATCTAAAATCGAAGGACTCTCTCTCACATGGCCAAGAAGGGACTTCTTGATCTGGCTACTGCCTACTGCCCCTGCTTATCTTCTACCACTCACTGGCTGCTCCCTATTCCAAGAAAATAAATAAAGCCTACTCTTGTCCCAAGGACATCCCATTCACCATTTCCTGTCTCTAAAACTGATTGCTGGAAACCTTTGCCTATTTCCTGCCTATGCAAAAATAGTGCTTTCTCAGAGAGAAATCACTTGATTATTTTATCTAAAATTTAACTACTTACAGCTCCCCCCAGATCCCATTCTCTCTATCCCTTTCAACTGCTTTAGCTTTGTTCATAGTTCTATGATTCTATGAAATTACATACAGCTTCCTTTACTTTTTTTCTTCTGTTTTTTTTTAATAGGCTTTTTCCTACGTTGTCCACTGGCTTCCACTTCCTGTGCTCAAGCACTGGACTAA